GTTACGGAAGTAAATAGCTAATCCACAAACATTCACATAGCTTCGATGCAATCCGCTTTCAATCGTGAGACCCGAAGATATACGAATCCGTTGGGAAAAGTGGAGAAGAAGAGGAAAGAGGAGAAAAGAGGAAAGATAGAAGAGGACTATACTAGCCGTGTACCTTGAATGGCGTTGATTAGTAACTACTCTCGAAAATAAACGAGAACTCATAGAACGAAACGTGTATTGTTTTCTTGCTTTCTCTAAAGTGAGAGGAAGCTTTTCAAGGAAACCAAAGAGAGAGAGAGAGAGAGAGAGAGAGAGAGAGAGAGAGAGAGAGAGAGTGAGAGAGAGAGAAGGATAAAACGAGAAAGAAAGAGGGGGCTAAAAGAGGACTTTAAAAGAGGGTAGATCAGTTCTCAGGGCTTACACGAACAAGATCAAGTACTTATTCGTGTAAGAGACTACAAGTTACGAGTTGGTAGTTGAGTCATCGTAGGGAAGAGGCGAGAGAGAACTCGGAAAGAGGGTTAGGTTAGGGGTGTGGAAGCGTAACGAGCAAAGGCTCGACTAGGAAACGCTACAAATCGAATTCTAGCGTTAACGGTAATTCCAATGCTACTAGTACCATTGGTTGATTCGAGCGATCACAACGCAAGCTCCTACCTTATATCCCGTGGGGGAGTCTCTGTTCCATTATCGCTCTAGGGAAGAAACATCGTTAAATCATTCCCATTGTGCCTGCAATTACAGCTTTCGCGCTTCATTAGAGCAACATATCGACCTATCGTGATTTGGTAATCTTACGGACTCGATTGTTACTAATGATAATATATAAAAGAGAATGAAGATATGAAAGTTGCTAATGAAACAATTTTCATTTGAGAATAACGAGGAAAAAAGATAGATCATTTATGAACGTGACGTTATCTATTGGAAATATTATGTATAGAGGTTATAAATATGTATAACGTTTGTCGGTTAAAACGTTATTAATATTATACATATATATTCCCTGATTACATTGATAATCGTTATTAATTTATGCTACAATGAGACGATGATATCTATTGAAGAAATTTATATTGATTATTTTTTAAACTGATTTGCCCTTGTTTTTTTTTTTTTTTTTTAAATAATACATACCTCGTATTATTAATGTCACATATTTCAATCGACAAGTATAATTATAAGAATTCATTTGAATTCAATTTTTTTAATTCGTATTACGTTACAACGAAACAAATACCGTAAATAGAAATTCATAGAAACCTTTCAACTTTGATCGTAATCGTATACGATCGAACGGAAGTATGAATGAAAGGCTTCTATCTTGATTAATTAATCATTGTACCGAATACATATTATTTGATTATTTCCAACAGAAACGAATCTCATTAGAATATATATATTCTTTTGTTTTTTTATAATTAATTATCTATTGTCCGATTTTTTTTTCTGTTTTTCTTTTTTTTCTTTTTTTTTTTTTTTTAAGACTTCGAAGAAAACTTTATTAAAAACTTTTACGAAAGGGTTTACGTAAAATTGAGATTTGTATAATGTAACTTACATCGAACTATGCCCGCTGCTTCGGCTCAACTTTTTCGCAACTTTGATAGGCCAGACATTATTCTTGGAAATATGCGGAAACGAATATAACTTTAGTATCGAAGAATGGAGAAGCCAGATATTCTGCATACCATAACGAGTGAGAGAAAGAGAGAAAGAAAATATATATAAAGCAAAATATATATAACAGTATCTATGTGAAATTTCAACATGCTCTCTCGTATTTATCCAATGTATATTAATAATTTCCCGAACGAGAGTAATTACATGATTTAATATCTTACATAACTTTTTTCAATATAACAGAAGAGGTTTATAGTGAACATGTTATACAAGAACATTATATCACTTTGTGCAATATATTTATAAGAAAATTTTATTTATTATGAAACATACATACAAACACACACACACACACACATACTCATACACATTGAATCGCATAATTGAGAAAGAATTTTTGTAATGACGAATGATATGTTAACGTATTAATGATTAAATTTAATAATAAAAAATTAATTTTAACGAAATTTTTATTAGCCTTAAATTTATCAGTCATATAGATTTATCCTTTAAAATGATATTTAACAAGTCGTTTTAATGGAATGAGTCAAAAACTATATCGGAACATTGTCAAGTTTATATATTACAAAATTAGTGTAAAGAGAGTTAGTTATCAACGATCTACTGTCGTACCTGTTGTCGTTCAAGACAACAGGTCTGTTTGACATCAAGGTATATTACGACATTATAAGCACTCACGTTACAAAGGGCACTCGATGAAAAGTTTTAGCAAGATGTAAGTACTAACCTTCGATGGCTCTTCGAGGAAGATGAAATTGATTGCCTGCCCAATGAAGGGCTTTACAGGAAGCCATATTGCCATTATTACGAGAACATGAACTAACAATAAATCTAAGAAGAATTTATGACTCATATTACTCTTGAACAATTGTTCGTTAACAATTATTTTTCCCTATAAATCGTACACACTAGCAATGAGATTTGGCCCTTAAATCGTCGATAAGAAAGTTCATTTTCTCGTTGTGGATTAAAAAAAGAGTAGATGGGATAAAATGAAATACGTTAAACAATTTTATCCTATTATAAATGATAAAACTCATTATTATTGTT